CCCACAGCCACCAGCCGGTTGACCACGTGCCCCGGGGGCAGCTCCCGACCGGACTCCCCCTCCTTGTGAACCTCCGAAACCAACACCAGCCGCTGTCGGTTCTCGTCCCAGGAGCCATCGGCGAAGCGCTCGCCTCGGGCCTCAGACCCGTGGGTCACCAGTCTCGGGGTCTGGGGGTCCATAAGAGGCTCTGTGCCGCCACTTCCGCTGATTGCTGTGAGGTCCTGCGCGTAAAGCGCCTGGTCCCTGTGTACGGCAATATACGATTACGGTACGGCAGGGGCGCGGGAGCAAGTGGTTGCGACACTTCAGCCTTACTTCTTCTGGGTGGTGCTTTGCTAAAGTTAGGTGAAAAATCTTATGAAGTAGTGGTTGCGATGGAGCCTGCCAATTAACAACATGTCCTAAACAATTCCTACGACCGGCGTGTAACAGCTGTCGTACAGTACGGCGTATGTCGTCACTACATGTACGACAGTCAAAGCGCACACTTCCATCATTTTTAGCATATCCCGATGCGCCTTTTCGTTGTGGCCAACTATATGTGGCCACAAATACAGCCCCCGAAACTTGCTTGAACGAAGGCCTTAGGGAAGAAATGCCAAAGTTTTCAAAGTCTGGCCAACAACCAAAAACAACTACGCGTTAGGAAACCATGTCCATCACCAAATGGAAAACCCATGCATTCCACATAATAATATGCACATCCATCATAAGCAAGGACCCTGGCAATACAACAGAGATACGGCAAAGCAAACTGAACGTGTTATGTGCCCCTCATTACTTCATTCCCGGGGGGGGGGGCCCGCCCTGCATTATCATATTGCCTTATTGCCGGGGACATCAGTTCACAAACATAAGCTTTCCGATCCGCACAGGACCACCGCCCATATGAATGAACAATTGGTTACAACCAAGCCCGTAGTTTGCAAAGTAATGGACATACGTACATACATAAGAACACAGTCCCGTACTCTAGGGCTCTGTTCCCTGCAATATTCGTTACCGCGAAGTGAATGGAGGAGCAGGGCGGGGACATTTCCCTTCTAAAGGTACACACTTCCCTTCCCAAACCAGGACGCCGTATCTGAATAAATAATCACGCACTTGAAATTTGTGAAGTACACCGTGTCTCCCACGATGCAGTACTCGCCGCCGCCGTACTCGTACACTGTCGTACGGACGTTAAAACCCTCCGCCGTAGTTGCCGGAGGGGTCACATCCCTGATGGCGCCGTCAGGTGACCTGAATGAGTGAACCAGTTGTTGCGGGGGAGGGGGGCAGGAGGGGAAGAAAAATAATCTGGGGGCCGACGTGTACGGCCGTGTTCGACGTACATGTTTGGGGGAGGGAGGGGCTCTCCTGTGGAGGAAGTGTCACTTTCGGGTTTTGCAAATTTCACGCGGGGGGAACAGCGAAAGGGGGATATGGGGCCGGCGGGCAATGCAAGAAGGTAGATCACGGACTCAACCCGCCGCTGTAACAGCGGCTTCCGCTTCCCCTTCCCCTTCCTGTCCCGCATTCATTGTCCTAATATGGATCAGGCAAAAGAAAGGGAAGTTCGGGGGCCGGGTAGCGCGGGGGGAAAAGGTGTGTGTGGGGGGGGGAGAGGAGGAGGTGTGTGTGGGGGGGGGAGAAAGTGGGGAGGAGGAGGCATGTTGGGGGGGGGGGGGAAAAGCAAGAGGTAAGGGAGGGGGATGGCCCGCGCAGTATTTATATAGAAAGATTTTGGGGAGGGCCTCGGGGGAGACGAGATGGGAGGGGGACGAGCCTCTCTGCCTCCATCACCATCACCGTGTACCACTGCCCCCCTCCCTCCCCTCCGTCCCTCCGCAGCCTTCACCTCATGACCAGCACCTGGCGACCCCCCTCGCTGGGCCGCAGCTCCAACCAGAACAGCGCGCCATCGGAGGCTCGAAGGAAAGGGTTCCTTAGCTTGACGGCCTTCTCGGCGATGGAAGCGGAAGTGATGGGAGACTCCCATTCTCCGAGGGAAGCCTGGCGGGGCGCGTTGCTGGGCTCCGAGGCGGCGGCCTCAGCAGCAGCGGGCTGCTTGACCTGCTTTGACTCGCGATTTCCCATTTTTTCCTTTCGCTGTGCGCTTGCAAGATTGAGCCAAGCCGCAAATGTACAAGTAAGCGAAACGAAAGCTGCGAAGAAGATTTCTGGACTACGGGGAAGAACCTGCTGAACGGTAACAATAAAAGGTGAAGAAATGGCAACCTATACAGTTATGGCTATAGATGCTCTTTTCCGGAGTCGAACGAGGTACGGTGAGGACAAGTCACCGAGGAGAAACGCCGAAATAATTTCGCGGCGGTTGATCCTTGGTATAGTACGACTGTCGGAAGTTAGTTTCGGACAAAAAAATCCTCGTTGCCAAAAATTGCGCATAACGGAGCGCCCTTATGTTCTTTGTGTTGGCATCAATTCCATAGGCTTTGCCTGTTATATGTTGATGCTTAAATTGTTCTAGCAGTTAACAGAGAATATGTATGATGCAAGTCATACATATGTATGCATATCATACAATACCTATAAAATTACCTCGCAGGTGTGGTATGGATGAAATTTCCAAACGACCAGCGGGTCACTTTCTTGCTAAGACAAGCGAAATAAAACGTTTCATGGGTTGGGCCCCGTATTTCGATTAAAGCTGAACATCCTTTCCTTTGTATGGCATCTAGGCGCTGCGATTGCGCATAGATGCGCTGTTTGTTTCCCCCTATTATTTTCCTAGCCTTTTGCACCCCTCCTGGATCCCGGGCGCGTGACAATAAAACTCAAAAGTGTTGGTAAAAGACCGACACTCATACGCAAGCGGAACGTGAGAGCAGTAATAGGAGCCGAGGGGTTCCGGCGCTTTGCTTTGATTCTAACTAAAAGGCAACCTTGTTGCTTCATATTGCCAAACCAAAACGAAAACAAATTTAATTACATAAGCGACAGCATGACACCAACGACAGCACTGAGAAAGACCGGTGTAAAGAAGGCTACCTGTTAGTAGCAGCTGGGGCCTTAAACTCCGCCACATCCACAAGTATTGTCCTCCGCAGGTCACGTCACCGCAGGTCTCGCGAGCCGCCACCACAGCTGGAAAATGCGCGGACGCCGCTTCTCTCCGAACTGCTTAACACAGTGCACAATCCCGACTGCATATCAGCCCAATCTGAGACTATTAAATTCATGAGCGAGAAAACGCAGATACCAGTTGCATCAGCTACAGGCTGAAACGCCAGCACGATGGTAAAGCAACCTCAGGACTACCTGCCTACCGTACGAGAGAAAGCGAGGCGCGACTGACTAATGCTGACGGAGCGCCACACAGCCCAGATACACAAAACGCATGTCCAAGATGTGGGTGGCCATTCAACCGCTCACCGCCGTACCCCGGCATGGCGGTATGACACTAATACACTAATTCAAACACACATACATACATACCCGGCAGGCGGGCGGCAGAGGTTAAGGCCTGACTTCTGCTCCCGGCCGACCCGGTTCAAATCCGCCTGCCGGCTCCTCGGGTGTTTTGAGGAGTTTTGAAATGGGAGATGGCTCCCCATCACATGGACGATGTAGGACGTGATAATATCAACTTGCGAGCTGACCAGGAACTAAGTTGATGCGCCGTTGATCCGCTAGATTTGGTTGGATGCTTGTGGTGAGTTGCCGAACCCAACGAATGCATTCTGAAGTCGGATGGGGTGACGGATTAGGGTGCCCCTCTAGCAGGGGAGAGCAGGGACTGCCTCGGGAAAGGGGGCCGCTGGCCAAGTTAACCACCCTGTAACAACATACATACATACCCGGCATCACGAAGGTTAGCAAGTTGCGGATATTCTTTGACCTGTTCATTCAGATCCCGCAGTAGCTATCATCTCGTCAAACACATACACACATACATACACACACACGCTGACGTGCACGTGTCAAGTAAGAAGGGCAATTCTTTCGGTGTTGAGGTGGCGGTCGCGAGTGCGGGAGCAACTTGTGCTACTGCTGCTACTGCTAAGCTGCCTATGGCGAGAAATACCGAGATGTACGGCACCTTTATGACGACACCGGTCGGAATTCCGACAGGCTCAAGGCTGTGCTTATAGGGCGGATTACGTTTCCCTCCCCCATTCCCCTGCACCCCTTAATTCACGTGCGTGTGAGCGTGTGTGCGTGTGTGTGTCTCCGCGTTTTCATAATCTGAGCCGCGGGGTGTGTGTGTATCTGCGTGTGTGTGTGTGTGTGTGTGCTGAAGGGTATATTAGCCACATCTCTAGCTGCCGCCTCGTTGCTGTTGCCATTGCCGTTGTAGCTGTAATGGGCTCTGTCAGTGTCACTGTTAGTCGCGCGGTCGGCATAAATAACTGAGGCAGGCGCATTGGCCCCATCAGCCCCTCCACACCCCTCCACATCACACCACACCAGTGCGCCGCAAACTCAACCATCCTTTTCTGGGCCCCTTCACATCGCCTTTCCCGCGACGGCATGAGCATCCAACAATTGCTGAGTGGCCTGAGACACATGAAACCGTGCAGCTGCTGTAGCTGGTGCAGTAGCGGGAGTCGCGGCAGCTGCTGCTGTTGCTGCCTCCGCCCTCACTGCCGCCCCCCTCCGGACTTTCTGAATTCGGACATCCTGCAGGGTTAGGGGGAGGGTGGAGGGCAGGGGGAGGGGGAGAAAGACGAATCACGAGCGAGTTAAGCTGCTGTCAGGACAAGAGTGTACCAGGACAAGAGGGAGGGGGAGGGGGTTAAGGGGGGGTTTTGATGGCGGGGTGGGGGAGTTGGGTGGGGTGGGGTATAAAGGGGATTTGAACAAGATTACACACAGCCGCAACAGCGAATGTGATCATTCGAAAACGAAACGAACAAACCGCAAGTCACAACAAACAAGGCTTTGCGGCCGCAGTAGCGATGTCGTCCAGGACGGGAAGACCCGAAGGGGGGGACCCAAGGGACGTGTGTACGTGTGTGGAGGGGTAGGGGGAAGGAGGAGGAGGAGGAAGAGGAGGAGAAGAGGATATTGCAATTAGTGCCCAAGTGAATTCAAAAACACCTGCCAAGAGAGGGGGAGGAGGAGGAGGCCAGACGGGTTACTGGAAAGATCAGCAACAAAAATGTGGGAGGGGGTTTATGCTCCCTTTAGTATGCTATGCATGTTATGCATGCTATGTATTATATATTTTATATTTTATATATGTACACATGTACATAACATATATGTATATATATGTACATATATATACACACAGGAAAAAGCGCTGGAACAAGTGCTCTTAACTTACTAGGAGAGCCTGACGGAGAGCCTCGCTGCGTGCGTTGTAGTCGTCCGACCACGTCATCCACCACCCAACCGTCCAAACCGACAACCGTCGTACGCCGCGCCGACGCATCTCCCGCTCTCCGGCATCGTACTGCGGGCGCCAGTCCAACTTGCGCTCCAACCAAAAACTGAAACAGTTAAGTGCCACGCCACGATCTGGCAACCGTAATGGGTGTTGGCAATGGGAGGCCGGCAGACAGTTGGCAGTTAAGCGAGGTCGTTAGCAGTTAACGATGTCGTGTTACGGGCCACATCCCAGCCACGTAAAACCTAAAACCCCAGGATTATCTGCCTGGTCTCGCTCCGGGTCCATGCCGTACAACACACCACACCATACTGTACAACAGGGTTTAGGAGGAGGGAGGTCATTGCAAGGACGAACACGCGAGGAATGGGGCGTGCGACCTCTCTCTCTCTCTCTCTCTCTGTGTGTGTGTGTGTATGTGTGTGTATGTGTGTGTATGTGTGTGTATGTGTATGTGTGTGTCTGTGTGTGTGTGTGTGTGTATGTGTGTGTATGTGTGTGTATGTGTGTGTGTATGTGTGTGTATGTGTGTGTGTATGTGTGTGTGTATGTGTGTGTGTATGTGTGTGTGTATGTGTGTGTGTATGTGTGTGTGTATGTGTGTGTATGTGTGTGTATGTGTGTGTATGTGTATGTGTGTGTGTGTCTCTGTGTGTGTCTCTGTGTGTGTCTCTGTGTGTCTCTGTGTGTCTCTGTGTGTGTGTGTGTCTGTGTGTGTGTGTGTGTGTGTGTGTCGCCTGATCCAAGTTCGGTCCTCTCCACTCCCCAGCCAGTCCCCCATCACCTCACCCGTCCAACCCCAAACCCTAGTAAAGGAACAGTCTCCCTCCCCCCCTCCCCCCCTCCCCCCCTCCCCCCCTCCCCCCCTCCCTCCCTTTTCTCCCATTCCAGGAGGACAATCTCGTACCGAATCGGTTGCAGTAGCTGCCCTCGTCGTCCTGCAGGTAGCCGTACCGCTTTCGGTTGATCAGTTCGTTGGCGGTTAGGTTTGCCAGGATTAGGAAAGCTTGGCGCCCTGCCAGGAAAGTTCCCGGAATGAGACACAGAGCCTGCGGGGGGTGGGGTGGGCGGGGTTGTGTGTGGGGTGGTGGTGACTGAATGGTGGGGTTACATCACTGTCATTACGAGGGCGAGTGGCTCTGTGTGTGTGTGTGTGTGTCTGTGTGTGTTTGGGGGTGGGTTGTACGACGAACCACTGACGAAACCCTAAGCAAATTACGATCAGATAGACGGATAGCCCTCCGAGAGAAGATAGAAGTACTTGCGCTCTAAAAAAAGGGGTTTGGTGGGGGTTTGGTGTCAGGGAAGGTACACCAACCCCAACAATTGCGTTTCATCATTTGAAATGAACAACGCCCACTCTGGCCGCTACTGGCAGTCACAAGAGGTTCTTCCTCATCTCATGGGGGCCTGGGGGCCCCACCAAATCTCCCCCGTCCCATAAGATCTTCTGCGCCGTCTCCTCGAAACACTCCACACCCCAATTACTGTCCCCTTCTCCCCCCCACACACACATACACACACACGCCGCACTCAGTCCACTCATCCATCCCCCCTTCTCTTTCTACTCCTCCTTCTTCTATTCCCCCCTGTCTCCTCCTCAAACCTGAAAAACCGCACAGGTCCCAGCACCACTCAACAACGGGGTGCTCGCAGCGCACATCTCGACCCGGACCCAGACTCAGGCCCAAGGAAAGGATGAAACGCAATTGTTGGTGAGGCCTCATGCAGGACAAACTGTCTGCATCTGACCATTGTTTGCCGCTCCTCCTCATATCGTCATTATCACCATCATCATAAATTTCCCGCTCTCCGTAACCTCCTCCCCCATTCCCCCCATTTCCCCCCTGCAACCCCCCCCCTCCGTACCCCCCCCCTCTCCCCCCCCCTTCGCACCTGCACTCCCCCCAGCAGCAGCAGCCACCTCTCCGGGGCCCCAGCGGCCCAGCACAGCGCCGCCCACATCGCCCTGGGACCCGTGTCCGGGGCCGAGGAGGCGGCGGCGGCGCCACTGACCGCCAAATGACGTTGCAGTACGAAGCTGAGGGTCACGTGCACCACCAGGACCTGACACACCCACTGCGGGTTTGAAGAGGTTGTGGAAATAAAGGGGGGAGGGGGGGACTGGTGAGTTGGTAGGTAGGGGTGGTTTCGGGTCGATTTGTCGGGTCGGAGATTGATGAGCTTCGGAGGACTGAGACAGGCCAAGCCGGTTGTTCTTTCGCCGGTGCAGGTGCTGTGCTGGTGCTTTGATCTCTAGGCAGCCTCTGATCCCTGAACTAACCATAACCCACCCCGCTCCCACAAAACACATACATACGTACGTACATACATACATACATACATACGTACATACATACATACGTACCTACAGGTCCGTACTCCTCCAGAACCCAGCATCATCAACTACCCGAGGGCCCTCCAGCCACCCCCTTTTTTTAAAATGGTTTAGCACGACAGGACAGGAGCTTATTCGCCAGTCGCACATCTCGCAGTGCACACTGGCTCTTCCCCCCTTCCTCTCCCCCTCTTCTCCAAGCTAGGCCCCTCTTCCTCTCCCCCACCAACCCCAGGCCCGCCCTGACCATGAGGAGCAGCCAGGCAGCGAAGGTCCGCTCGTTGCCCTCACCCACGCAGTTGCCGATGGCGGGGCAGTGGTGGTCTTAGGGTGAAGGAAAGGGGGGAGAGGGGACGGGGGGAGAGCGGGTTGAGAAATGTGGCGATGATGGAGAGGCCGACAGGAAAAGATGGGGATGGGGTTGGGGGTTGGGGGGTGGGGAGAGATGGGTGAATAGTACCGGAAGAGGCGAACGAAGAATAAGCGGGGGTTATGTGAGATACACGCATCGACAGACGTACATACACGCATCCGCATGCAGGGCAACACGCACAGCGTGGTTGCTGTGACGTGCATGTTGTGACGGGCGAGATGCTTCCTTACCAACGTCATACACACATACGTACACACACACATCCCACGCGGATACCGAAAAGGAACATCCATTTCGTAGAGAAAAGCCGTACATACACAGCCGTACAGACGGCACGCAGGAACACTGCAGGAAGGTTTTACGCCCCGCAGCCCCTCAACTCCCTCCCTCTCACCAAATCGCCGTACACAGCGGTTACAGAACTGACAGTGCTTGGACCGCAGGGGCCGGGGCACATGGCAGGTGGAGCAGGGCCGCTCCCCCTCGCCCGGCCCTCGCCATGCCGCCGCCGCCGCCACACCACCACCACCACCACCACCACCACCACCACCACCAGCTGTCCCTTCATTGGGCGCCACCTCCGCTTCCCCCAGCTCTATCTCTCCTCCTCCCCCTCCCCCTCCTGCTCCTAAATTCCGTTTCCGGACACCTCCTCCTCCTGCTGCTGCCCTAGCTGATGCAGCAGCGGCGCCAACCCGGACATTGTACCGGTCCTCCCCCCCCTCCTCGTCCTCG